TGATGGTGATGTTGATAGTGATGGTGATGGCGATGATGGGGAGTGGTGACAATGATGCTGATGCTGATGATGAGGAGGGGGATGGTGCTGATGGTGTTGATGATGATGATGATGATGATGATGATGATGATGATGATGATACTGCTGGCATAAGTAGACTGCAGATGATGAGGGGGAGCAGATTTAGGATGATTCTGTGATGATGATGAGGATGATGTGGATCACGAGGACGAGGATGATTCATACAAACATAAGAATAAAGATGAGGATGCTGATAAGGATAAGGATGACGAGGACGAGGATGCTATGATGATGATGACGATGGCGATGTTGATGGTGATGCTGATGTTGATGCTGATGATCATACTGATGATAGTGATACAGATGCTGTTGATGCTGATGATGAGGATGATGCTGATGATGATGATGATGGTGGTGATGATGATGTTGTTGATGATGATGGTGATAGTGATGATGGTGGTGGTGATGACGATGGTGGTGATGATCATGTTGATGATGAGGAGGAGGAGGACAAGGGTGGAGGAGGAAGGTGATGATGATGTGGACACGATGATGATGATGATGATGATGAGGAGGAGGAGGAGGAGGAGGAGGAGGAGGAGGAGGAGGAGGAAGGTAGAGGAGGAGGAGCAGGAGGAGGAGCAGGAGGAGGAGCAGGAGGAGGAGAAGGAGGAGGAGGAGGAGGAGGAGAAGGAGGAAGAGTGGGGGGATAATGGGAAGGGGAAGGTGAAGCGGAAGGGGAGGAGGAGGTGGAGGGTGGAGGAGGAGGAGGAGGAAGAGAAGAAACATGAACAGCAGGAGGAGAATGAAGTGGAGGAAGAGGAGCAGAAGGAGGAGGATGAGGAGGCGGAAGGAGGAGGAGGAGAAGGAGGAGGAGGAGGAGGAGGAAAATGAGAAGTGGAGAAGTCGCACGGAGATACCAAAGGGCTTCAGCTTCAAGAGGGTCGAGGGGGAGGAGGAGGGGGCAGGACGGAGGATTAGCAAGCAGGAGGAGGAAGAGGCGGAGAAGGATAAGGTGGAGGAGGAGGAGGAGGAGCAGGAGGGAGGAGGGGGCGAGGGGTAGGGCGAGGATGATGATGATGATGATGATGATGATGATGATGATGATGATGTGATGATGATGATGGATGATGATGATGATGATGATGCTGATGCTGATGCTGCTGATGATGATGATGATGAGGAGGAGGAGGAGGAGGAGGAGGAGGAGGAGGATGAGGAGGAGGAGGAGGAGGAAGATGAGGAGGAGGAGGAGGAGGAGATGGAGATGGAGGAGGAGGAGGAGGAGGAGGAGAAGGGAGCAGGAGGAGGGAGGAAAAGGAGGAGGGAGGAGGAGGCGGAGGAGGAAGAGGAGAAGGAGGAGGAGGAGCAGGAGGAGGAGGAGTTGTTTTACGTTCGCGGCAATGACCCCATCTAAATGGGGCATTAAGTCGAGAGGCCGACTATGACCCCCCATCGCTTCGGAATGAGTCATGGGGATGAGGAGGATGGGGAGGAGGAAGAAGGAGTAGGAAGAAGGAGTAGGAGGAGGAGGAGGAGGAGGAGGAGGAGGACCGGGGTGAACCAGGGATGAATCATCGATGTTGGAGTACACTCTCCCGTCCAAAGCCCCCCGCTGAGTAGCCCCCACAAGCATACGCCTTCACTGCGGGACGCACCCCCGTGAAAGACGAGCATCACATGGACCTGCGAGTCAGGCGGGAGTTCCGTCTCGAAGGAAGCCGCCCTCACTCCTCCGAGCCACGTGCGGCAGGGTGGGCTCCAAACAGCCGAAGGCAGAACCCAGCGACGGCCCTGCTCTGAACAGGACCCCCCCCATCCGTGCTGCTGCTTTTAAGTTCTACAAGTGGCAATGTGTGTCGAGGAAGTCTCCGGTGAAGGCCCCTTGGGGAAACGTGCCCGCCTCCATCCGTGAAGGGGAGCTTGATCAGACGAGTGCGCGCGGCGCTGAGGCGAGAGCCACGTCCTGTCAACGACCGGCCCTCCGTTTGTGTAAGTGTTGGGAGTGTTCGAGAGGAACGTGCGCGGCGCATAGGCGAGAGCTGCAGTTTGAACATCTCCTTGCATCCATCCGTGTAACTGTTGGAAATCTTTACGGCAAGTGCTCGCGGCGCCTGGGGCGATCGTCATTTCGGATTTCTTGGACGAGTGTCCGCGGCGCGAAGGCGAGAGCCACACTTTGAGAACCAGCGACCCTTTGTCCGTGCACGTCACTGATGGATGTTTCCAGCATCAGGATGACCAAGTGCTAGGAGCCCTGAAGCGAAACGCCTAGCCAGGCCCACGGGCACGACTGGTGGCGCGACAGGTAGGTAGGTAGGTAGGCAGGCAGGCAGGCAGGCAGGTAGATAGGTAGGTAGGTATTTCGGTAGGTATGTAGGTAGGTCGGTAGGGAAGTAGGTAAGCATAGTAGGTGAGTGGTGTCCTCCCGAAGATGACAGTATGTTGATCCCGCGGGTTCGGATCCTTGGACAGAGGGTGACGGAGGAATGGGGGAGGGATGGGAGAATGGGGAGGAGGAGGAGGAGGAGCAGGAGGAGGAGGAGAGGAGCAGGAGGAGCAGGAGGAGGAGGAGGAGGATCGAGCCGGGTCGAGCAGGATCACGCAGGAGGAGCAGGACCGACGGGGAGGATCGAGCAGGGCCGACGGGGAGCAGCATCGAGCAGCATCGAGCACGAGGAGCAGGAGGAGCAGCAGCAGCCCCCCGCGGAGCTGCCCCGCGCGCCACCCGGGGCCACCGAGGTGCTGAGGAGCGGGGACGCCCGGGGCTACAGCGAGAAGTGCGACGCACGCGGCCTCAGCCGAGGGTCGAGGGTTCGAGGAGCCAGGGGTCGATTGGCCGATCGAGTTTTGACACCATGATTTTTGTCCCGGGCTCAACGCGTGTACAGTGCAAAATGCGAGCTGCTAGCACGGCCCTCTCTGGGGCCTCTGACGTGAAGGGCGGCGGAGGTGGGGAAGCGCTGCTGCAAACCCCTTCAGAAGGGGTTGGCAGCAGCGTCCTCCAGGATGACGCGGTTCCGGAGACGTTCTCCAGGATGACGCAGTTGGGGCCAATGTTCCCCCCCGCCTGTGCTGAATTGCGTGTGCAACTATTTCGCCAGAAATTGAATTCAGACTGAGCTTCATATGATATGATGCCCGAAGCAACGTCGATGGGACCACTGGATTCCCCGAGCGCTGCTGCAACAAGCTGGGGTTCGAGGATCCAGGGTTCGACTGGCCGGTCTCGTTTCCTGGTTTCCGTTGTCCATCTCTGATCTTATGAGGCCTGAAGGACGCCTCTGGGGGTCTCCTGGGAGGGAGGGGGATTGGGGACGGCAAGTAGGCGAGGAAAAGGGGAGATGAGGAAGTGAGGGAGGGTCAGGTCAGGTCAGGTCAGCCTTGCACCAGACGGTGCGTGAGCAGGGTGAAACCGAAGATGCGGCCTAGCGGACGAATGCCTTTAGCATCCGGGCCAGCCTTTGACGGCCTGCTCCCACGTGCGAGTTGCGCCGCCCTCTGGGCGGAAGTAGGCAGCAAGTCGCTCGTGCGAGCCGGCGACTTTCAGAGAATTGTTCCATACTAGATTTCCCCAAGTCTGTCGCGGTTTGCCTCGCCTTCTTGGGCCTGCAGCTCTACGGACGACAAGCGAGTCCGGCTCCAACACTGAAGTTCTGACAGTTCCTGGTCGGCGTGCAAGTTGGCCCATGAAAGTCACCTGCCGCCTGGCGAGGCAGTCACTCAATTTTGATTGTTTCGATATGCTCAAGACAGTGGCGTTGGACACCCGGCTGATGAACGACGGCTGTATGCGGAAAATCTTTCGCAAGCATCTATTCTGAAAGATGTCTAATCTGCGTCGTTCGGCCTTGTTGAGGCATGCCACAAACAGTACGTACATCAATTTGGACACCACACACGCGTTGAATACCTTCACCTTCTGCTTCCTCCCCAAGACCGAATGAGACCAAATAGTGTGCAATGTCTGGACATCACGCTTTGCACTTCCAATCCTCCTGCTCAATTCAGCGCCCATTCTCTCATCTGCAGGAAAAGATGTGCCCAAATAAATCAGCAACTCCTTACGACGGGCTGGCCCAAGTTACTCATCACGTTCTCGTTGGTCCGGACCTTCATTAGTTCGACCTTTTTCCAATTGAATTGCAGTCCATAGTGCGCCCCGCAGCTCTCGACGCAGCACATGAGGTCCTGGATCACTTCAGGGTTGTTGCCGATCAGAAGCGTGCCGTCTGCGTACACCAAGTCGCTCACTACCCCATTCAGCACTTCCTCACCGCGTCGCCTACGCAGCTCACGATAAGCATCGTGCAGCAGGGTTATCATACAGATTGTGTGAAGAGGAATGGTGACAGGGGGCAGCCCTGACACATTCCATACTGCTGCTTCCTCTCTCCGGATGTGGCGCAGGAATCTGATACAGTGAAGACGCAATTGTCGTAGACGCTGGAGACCATGCGCACGAACTTGTCCAGGCAACCGAACCTTCGCAGCGCGTTGACCAACGACTCCAGAGACACCGAGTCGAACGCCTTCGACCAGTCAAGAGCCAAAAAGATGCTCTTACCATCGCGCGCCGCCCACGTCTCTTCTGGCACTCGCCGCGCAATGAACACCGCATCGGCTGTGCCACACCCAGATCTGAAACCGAATTGTGACTGTCATATGCGCTGCTCGGCCCCTGCGTCCTTCATGCGTTGCAGCAGTAACATGGCAAACAACTTGTAACCGATTGGGGGGAGGCTGATGGGCCTGCAGTTGTTGCAATCCCCTGGGTCGCCCTTTTTGTAAATCATCCTCACTTGTGACTTATGCCAGGCCTCGGGTACTTGACAATTGCCCCGTACCAGATTGCAGAAGCGAGTGATCCATGCAAGAGTGGGAGTGCCGTCGTCGGTCGCCGCCCGCCCAAACTCGGGAGGGATGTCGTCGGGGCCTCCTGCTTTGCCTCGTTTGAGTTTGCCGACTGATTTCTTCACTTCCTCTTCTGTAGTGTCACCAAGGTCGATGGGGAGGACGTTTGCGTGGAGCGCGTCCGCCGGCATAATTGTCGTCGGCCGCACCGCCCACTGCACTTGTTCCAAATGGTCTGCCAATGTAGTTGCTCCACGGTCGCTGTTTACCAAATCCCCACTTGCATTCTTCATCCTGCCCTGCAGGGGGCAAAAGCCTTTCTTAAGCTTGCGAATATGCTCCCAGTTGCCGGTCTCAGTAAGCCTTTCCATCCACGCGGCCCGGTCTTTCGACACAATTGTTTTGATTATTTTGGCAAGCCGCTTTTCTTCATCGATGTCGCCCTGACGTCTGGCTACCAAGCGCCTGTCTATGAGTTCTAAAGTGGGAGGTCGTATCCAAGGCTTCCTGGCACGGGCTGGTCTCGACGGCAGCGCGTTCGTCGATGCATGGAGGAATCCGTCAACAAGCTGACACCAAGCCAGATTCACATGCCTGTGATCAGGCGCAGAGTCGGCGAAGTCCTCCAAAGACTCAGCAAGTAGAGAAGTGAAGCGGTGTTTTGTAGTATTCTCCATCAGGCTGCACACGTCTGGTCTGATTTCTGCGTGGCCGGCGCAATCGTGTCCACAGTGATCCGGACTTGGGCTCTCAGCAAGAAGTGGTGCGAAGACAATGGGGTGGCTGGACACGTAGCAACGCTCAATGCGTTGTCCAACCAGTTTTGATCACAAGCCAAGATGTCTATCTGAGAATGAGTGCGCCAATCGATTTTTTCTCCAGCTGGGCAACCGACGTTGTAGCACGTGGCCAACTGGCGCTGCGGCAATGGGAAGAACGTGTTCGCAAGACACATGTGTAACTGATCGTATGTCTCCGATCGTATGTCTCCGCAAACAAATATATGTTCACATCGGGCTTGCATATCTGGCCTGGGTGAACAGAGACATGGGGTCCGATTACATGCCCTTCGTCATCGAACTTGCCGTACAGCTTAGAATGAAATTCTCCCATAAGCAATTCAGGCCCATGTGCAGAACGCGACTTACTGAAGTCTCCGAGGTCATTGGAGAAACCTTGCAGATTTGGTCATCATATCCACTATGAGGCGCGCAAGCCGAGAATATTACGGCCTTGCCGCCGGAGACGCGGATCTTCAGCGAAGCCATCCTGCTCGAACACTGGAAAAATCCAACGATTGATTGTCTCAGGCTGGGGTCCACGATGAACCCAACCCCTGCCCTATCCGCTCCCTCCGCGTCCTCTGCCTCCCTCGACACGATCAGAAGGAAACCATAATATGTAACGAACGCGTTCGAGTTTAGTCTCCGCGTCTCTTGCACAAAGAATTTTGATGTCATCACGTTTCATCATTGTTTCGATTTCCAACTGCTTTGATTATGCGTACCCTTCTATGTTCCAACTTGCAATTGTGAATTCGCGATCTGGTATAGGCCGTAAACGATGGCCTCGAAGCTCGCTCAGTGACAATGTGGCTTTGCCATGCTGCTGCCCTTGAGCTGCGCAAGGTATGAGACTCGACTGTGGACCCCGGCAATTTGACGAAGATCCTTGGCGACTCCCGGGTGAAGTATCGCTGCTCACGTACCGCTGGCTCTCTTATTTGCTCATGTTGCCCTTGCCCTTGCTGGTAACCTTCGGTGCCCCTTTCTCTTTCGCCCCGCTTTTGCCGATACCTTTCATGGGTGACTGCGCCAACTTATCGGATAGGCGTTTGATCATGTCAGCGAAATCTGGGAACTCCGCCTGGGTCAACCAAACCTCCCACCCAGGCCTGTACTGCATCTTCAAGGTCCCGTTCTCGATGGACACCCGGACGGCGATGTCGCTGCTTACCCAGACGTGGCCTTCCTCCGGGTCGGCCCAGACGCTCTCGTTGGCATGCCCCCACTGTTTGAGAATATGTTTGGCCCCGAAGACACGAGGGGTCAATACCCGGGTTGGCAAGTCTTTGTCCCCCTTTGCCCAAACTACGTGGCCCCCCTCTTTGAAGGCCGCCTTCCGGAGCGAGTCGATTGCGGTGTCCTGGGCGAGTTGATCGAGAAATTTCACAAACACGATGCCCCAGAACTCCCCCTGGACGTAGATTTCTTCTGGCTGTGGGGAGTACAAATCACAGAGTTTGTTTTTGACCCATTCCCGAGCCTCCCCAAAGTCAGAAAGCGAGCGTAACCCGCCGACCACTGCCGTAACCTCCTTGTTCTTCTCGTGGTGCTGGTTGCTGCTGTGCTGGCCGGCCTCCCGCAACTGCAAGATCTCGACCTCGAGCGTCTTGATGCGGTCTCAGATGGCGGCATCGATGCTCTGGGGTGTCGTATTGTTTATGGGTGTCGGCCTGCTCGGCGCTGGTCTCGAGGTTGGGCATCTGGGGGAGGGCCTTTGGGGGATCCTGGTGGCTCCGTCATGGCCACGACTGGGCGCGGCTCCAGAACGCTCGTCGTGATGGTGTCTGTGAAGGGTCTGAGGATTGATAGTGAGCGCGCTTGGGTAGAACATCTGATGTTATGCTGCTTGCGGGCCTCCAAGGGAAACAAGGAGGAGGCGGAGGAGCAGGAGGAGCAGGGCAATGATGTGGAGGGTGGAGGGAAGATGGGGAGCAACGGGAAATATGAGAAGGGGGAGGGACGAGAAAGGAAGAAACGGAGGCAAAGGACGAGGCCCCGTGAGAGCCCACCGACTCGATCGGCCGGCCCAGCATTGGCACCGGCAGGAGGGGGGGCCCGAAGTGGACACAGTGCATGATCTCAGCGTAGACCCCAAGCGGTGAGCTCGTGCAGCAAGTGTGGGGCGATGAAGAGCAGTGCAGATCAGCGCAAAGCCACTGCAAGGCAGGCAGTGCAAAGGAGCGCCCACCAGGTGGCCACGAGTCCCAAATCCAGAGCCCACGACGCCCGGTTCCCCACAGACCACGTCAGAACCAGTAAGTGCAAGCATTGTTTCGGGAAGGGGCTGGTGGGATTGCCTTTTGGACTCTCTTTGGGTATGCTTGGGATGCTCTTTGAAGCCATGGAGGGGTGCCAGTCAGGCCCACTTGGGCCCCGCGAGGGCTCTGTTGGGCCCGCTCGGGGCCCTCTCTCGTGCCGCGTGCCTTCTTCCTTTCCTGATCATTTTCCCGATGCTCTCCCCAGACTCTTCGATATAGTCAACCCGCATAGTAAGGATGAACGACTTTCCAAGGTTATCCTTGCACCTTTCCCTTTCGGTCCATCCTTGGCCGCTTCTGCTGGCCACGCCCCGCTCGCAAAGTGTCGGCATGACTTCCGAGGCCCTTTCATCCTTACCGCGCGCCCTATGCCATATGGGTTGACTGTATACCCCGAAGAAGAGCAAAACGGCATAAACGTCGTTTCTCGGAGCTCCGTGCGGACTTCTTGCCTCCGCACTGGCTCGTCCTGGCGGCGCTTCCGGCGCCGCCCCTGGCACGCTCTGCGCGCCAGGGCGGGCGGTCCAGCGACCATCCAAGAAATTCGCGTGGGCCTCCGAGAAATTGTGTTCATGCCGCTTTCTGCCCCTCCAAGTCGGCACCCCAGACTCTGTGATGTACTCCTCTCCTACCAATACTCACCTGTCCCACCGTATCTTCCCAGCAGGTGCACCACTCCTCGAGTGCGATCACGCTGCCGCGCTCCGCCTGCTCCCGTACACACTTGCTGCGCGCCGCCCGTCGCTCCTCCTGAGGTCTGGAGCGCCGGCGTGATAGCCTACGTCCTGCTCTGCGGGTACACGCCATTCTCCGGCGATACGGATATGGAGATTCTCAAGAAGGCGCCGCGGGGTTGGGCAGATTTGAGCTGAGGGCGATGCAATGACCGTGCGCGAATCGCTTGCCTCGTCAGCCGGGCCGAGCACATCATGAAGTCTAACGGGAGGTTCGGCACTCCTTCCAGTTAGGCCGCACCTCGCGAGACGAAGCGACCGCGGAGTGCCGAAGGGATCGCGCATCGGTGAAGAAAAAGAAGGCGCCGCGGGGTTGGCGCCGGTTGGGCTAGATCTGCCCACTCAGCACTCCCCAGACGAAGCAGGCAATTCGGTACAGTCGACCCGCACAGTAAGGATGGGCAGCCTTTCCAAGGGTAACCTTGCATCTGTGTCTCCTCGGCCCATCCTTGGCCACTTTCGTTGGCCGCGCCCCGCTCGAAAAGCTTCGAAGTGGGCGTCCAAGGCCCTTGCATCCTTATCGCGCATTCTGATGATACGGGCCGACTGTACGGGGGCGAGCACGGCGGAGGTATTAGCCCAGAAGGCCGCAGCGCTATCGCACTTCGCCCACCATGCAGTCGGGTGCGAGCACATGGCCACGATACCCCCCAGGCAATGGGCTCGAGGCCGGTTGTGATCCGTAGGCGACTTGCATGCATGTATGACGTATACGCATCCCCGTGAAAGAATTATAACAAAAGTGGCACAAGGATGTGAATTGAAAGCATGTTGAATCAGACCAAGTGGGGCCCGTCGCATCAAGTGACATCCGCCTGTCAATGTTGCGGAAAAAACGCATCGTCTGCGTTGCGCGTTGCACGTTAGCCATCCGACCGGTGGGAACGAAGCCGAAAGGCAAAACGTGGAACCGCCCACGCCATCGGCCCTGTGAAGGATTAGCGTGGAAGAACAGGAGGATTAGAAGGAAGAGCCTGGCGAGGATGCTGATAATGTTTCGGCGGAGGAGCGGGAGCTAATCAGTGGCCAACGGTGTGGCAAGAACGCATATCGTCTTCGTCGTCGTCGTCGCCGTCGGCGTGGTCGTCGTCGTCGTCGTTGCCGACGTCGCCGTGGTCGTCGTCGTCGTCGTCGCCCGCCGCTGCTAGCAATAATGGCCGCTTGCTGGGCCTGGGGCCCAGGACCCGCCCGTCGGTGTCGGACGCAACTCCCTTCTGGGCGGGGGCGGGCTCGCTGTGAGAGTCCGCTCGTGGCTGTAAATGTTCGATGTCCGGCGAAACGACTTCACGATTGGACGCGGCTGGGTGCCATGTACGGGGCGCACTTCCCGTTGCCCATGGGGGCCCCACTTAACGATCGGGCGGTGGCAGGTTCAGTGTGTAGAATCAGACACGGGACGCATTTCGCGTAAAGTGGCGTGCCCCAGCGTGCCCACTTTACGATGTGGTTTATGCGTGTTTCGTGCGTGAGAATATGACGGGAAGCATCCGTGGTAAACTGGAATTGCCTGAATGAAAGAAAAATATGTTCATTCCTTATCTAAACAATTTCCCAGTCTACGATGGACGTTTCCTGTTTTTTTTTGTTTCCACACTAAACGCGGAAACAAGAACATCGTAAAGTGGGCGCGCCGGGGCGCGCCAGTCTACGCGAAGTGCGTAATGTATTTGAATTCACACACTAAACGGGCACCCGCCCGATCGTCAAGTGGGATTGCCGGGCAACCCAAACTGCACCCCGTGTGTGTGCATTTACATAATAGAACCCGCCCCCCCGCCAGATCGTCAACGCGGCTCGTTGGACAACGCCTCACAGGTCCCACTGGTCTCGTCAGTCCCACAGGTCCCCCAGGCCTCACAGGTCGCACAAGTCTGACAGGCCCGGCAGGTCTCGCAGGTCCCACAGGTCTCGCAAGTCCCACAGGTCCCACAGGCCCCACAGGTGCCATAGGTCGCACAGGTCCCGCGGGTCCCACAAGCCCTACAGGTCACAGGTCCTAACAAGGCCGATGTTTTGCACAGGTCTCACAGGTTTCACAGGCCCCACTGTTGCCACAAGTTTCGCAGGTCGCGCAGGTCGCACAAGTCCCACAAAACCCACCGATCCCGCAAGTCGCCCAGGTCCCGCATGTCTCGCAGGTCCCACAAGTCGCACAAGTCCCACAGGGGCACAAGTCTCACGCGTCCCACAGGACCCGCAGGGCGGCACGCTAAAAGACGAAAGGGAATCGCGCGGAAACCCAATACTTAGGCAGAATTACCCATCCCTGTGAGAAAGTGATTACAAAAATGGCACAAGGGTGGGAACCGAAAATATGTTGAATCAGACCAGGCGGGGCCCGTCGCATCAAGTGACATCCGCCTGTCAATGTTACGGCAAAACGCATCGTCTGCGTCACGCGTTGCACGTTAGCCATCCGACCGGTGGGAACGAAACCGCAAGGCAGAACGTGGAGCCGCCCACGCCAGCGGCCCTGTGAAGGATTAGTTTGGGAAAGCACCCGGGTGTCAAGCGGCGTCTGCTTCCCAAAGTTGCCACTGGGCATATCAATGACTTCTCCCATGGTGCACGCCTGCGCACACTGCCAACATAGAGAGGCGAATATCACTTGGTGATCCTCTTTGGGCGTTGCCGTCTGCAGATCGTTTACGATGATCGTCTTGATGGTTTGTTATATTTTCCTGGTTGTGTACAAAAGATGCGACCGAGAATTTCGGTCGCATCTTTATTATATACGCTTCACATCTCAGATGTGAGGCGATGGCGACCAGGCGTGGCAGGTATGGTGCAGTCGTGTGGACGCCGCGCGGCCGCGACGGTGCAGCCACGCGGCGTCTCCAGGAGCTTACAATACTTGCAGCACCCACGATTCGTTTCGGTTTCTTTTTGTTGGTCCACAGGGTGGCCTCTCCTCGTCCTCCGCCTCCTCCTCCCCTTCTCTTTGCGCATGCGAAACGGAGGAGAAAGGCAAATTCGGCTGACTTGGTCTCATTTCCACTTGGTGCTTGGGGCCAACACACTGTGTTTGTGTGCATCGCTGCAGTTCGATTGTTGCTCTTCGGCGGCAGGAGAAGTGCCAACCTTCAAGCGGATGTATGTTCCAGTCGTCCCTGGAGCTCAGTTTAGCACCAGCGCTTCGTGCCGACGATTTTGCGACAACACCGCAGGGCAGTTTCAATCATGGGTTTTATGGGGAGAACGAGCGTTATCAGAGAGGAGTGGAGGCGGGCCCCATGACGTCACGATTCGCCCGCGCGTGCAATGTCTGAGCGCGCCGGCTTAGGATTCGCACTGGGCATAGCCATCGCGTGGCCTCCAGCATAACATTCTCGCTGGGTGTGGCTGTCGAATGGGCTCCAATATGGAAAACTTGCGCTGAGCGTGGTCGGCGTACGGACTCTAGTATAGAATGTTCGGGCTCGGTGATATTGGCGCATGGGTTCCATAGAAAACTCGTGGCTCGTGTGACTGGCCCTTTGTCCTAACGCTTGGGCGTTGGCGATAATGGCATCCGGTTTCGCTTCAAGTTCGAAGCAAGTGAAAACGCCGCACATGATTTCATACTAAGTGGTCTAGATCAGAATGAGAGTGAAGAGGGACGAGGCGCGAGGCTTTGGTTCAGAGATGTTCAGAGAGACGGAGGGAAAGAGGTAAACAATGGAAAATGAGGAGATGCGGTTCTCTTGCCCTCTGCCACTGTCGGGCATAGGAGTTCATTAGCACTGTGGCTCCCACACGCGCTATATTGGAAACTGTGCTCATTTGAGCGACTCCATCCATAGCAGTCGCAATGTTGACAAGCGCTCTGGTGCTCATAGGCATTATGGTGCTCGTAGGCACACTGGCGATCACAGGACGATAAAGCATTGAGGCTTACGCGTCGATGTGTGTGTGTGCGTGTGTGTGGTTGGCGCCAACAGCGCCCCCGTTTAGCCTGCTCGCTGGTGCTGCTTCCTCAGCCTACGAAAAAAGTGTGGTTGGCGCGCTGAGCCAAGCGCTAGCAGTTCGCGCGTGGCGTGGCTGACACGGTCCCGATCATGTCTGACTTGCTTTGGGTAGCAGGTATTGTGCACTCCATGCCATTGCACTCCCTCAGCAATCCTGGGTGATCGCTACCGTCTGACGCTTAAGCCTGTTGAGCGTCGACACTTACGCACGCCTGAACAGTCGCTGTGCATGACCTCGGCCGCTGCGCACGTCCGAGCAGTGGCAGATCACGGCGGCATCGGCGTGTTGTCTCGCAGGCTGCCGGGGCTCCCCCTGCCCCCCTCCCCCTCCCCCTCCCGCGCCGCAGGTGCGCAAGGGCTTGCTCAGCTTCCACGGCACGGAGTGGACGGCGGTGTCGCAGGCCGCGAAGCACGCCGTGGGCAAGGACGGCGCTTTGGAAGTCCAGCCGCTCCAGGTCCAGTCCTCGCACCTCCCTGTCGTCAGGGGCGAGGGGCGAGGGGGGTCGGGAGGGAGGACAGGACTGGTGGTCCGAGCCAGGATAGTGTGTCGTTTTTTCGAAGCGCCGTGTACCCGCGGAGCACGCGTCTGAGCGCGGCCTCACGACGGTATGGATTCCGCCTGCTTACCTCGCCCAAGCTTGCGAATCTGGCCCCTCCCTTCTCGTTCTCTCCCCCTCTTCCCTGTTCCCTCCCCGTTCCCTCCCTCTCCCCGTCACCCTTTTACATCCCGTCTTCCCTCCCTCCCTCCCCCTCTTTCTCCCCCACCCACCCCGATCGATGGCATCCGCCACACCATCTGGCCTGCCCTGGCCGCTGCGCCGCTGGGGGCTTCAACAGCAGCGCGCTGTAGCACAATAGTCACATCCATGCTGGCCACGATCGCAGCGCAAGACCTCCTGCGCCCGCGGCCGCTCGAGCTGAAGAGATCCAGGAGGAGGAGGAGGAGGAGGGCTCCTTCTCCTCCACCTCCTCCTCCACCTCCCTCCTCCCTTCCTCCCTCCTCCCTCCTCCTCCCTCCTCCCTCCTCCCTCCTCCCTCCTCCTCCCTCCCTCCCCCTCCTCCTCCTCTTCTCCTCCCTCCTCCTCCTCCTTCTCCTCCTTCTCCTCCTCCTCCTCCTCCTGAGGAGCGGCCGCCGATGGGGCTGATGCAGCCCGCGCAGGCGGTGGCCCCTGATCTGCAATCGCTTTCCGACATCGTCCCGACGCACTTCGACGGGATCGGCCAGATCACCATCCCCCAACCACCACCACCACCACCACCACCACCACCACCACAACCACCACCACCACCACTTGGCACTGTGCCTCGCCATCCATCGGCACTGTCACTGTCTCGAGAAAAAACGGCATAACACAAACTCTCGGAGCTCTGCGCGGATCTCTTGGATCGGCGCTGGACCCCCTCTTCCTGGCGCGCGGAGTGCGCCAGGGACGGCGCCGGAGGCGCCGGTAGGGGGTCTAAGCGCCGATCCAAGAAATTCGCGCTGACCTCAGAAACTGCATGTTCATTCAGGTTCTCTTTTTCGAGCGTCATCGCAGTTCTAGCGACATCGCAAGCTGTGCAACAGAAAACGAGAACACGGTTTTTCCCGACTGCTCTCCATCACCATGCACCACCTCGCCATCACCATCCATCACCACCATCACCATCTGCCACGAGAGCGCCGCCCATCACCGCAATCACCATCCGTCACCATGCACCTCCATCAATCGCTATTTCGGTGGCCAATCATGGGAGCCTGGTGTACCCTCTTAATTCCGTCTGTAACGTCGAGTAGCGTCGATTAGCGTCTGGAGTCGATGAGATAGCGATGATTTAGCTTCAGTTAGCGTCGATTTTATTAGCGTCGACCTAGCGTCGATTAGCGTCGATGTAGCGTCGAGTAGCGTCGATTCGCAAGAGCTGACAAGATGGTATGGGAGGATCCCATGAGTTGCCACCGAACACCACCATCAATCATGACTGTCATCGTCCGTAGACGCGCTAACGGCAATGTAGGTAACGGCGATGTAGGTTTCGGCATTGTAGGTGGGATTGGTTCGTGGCCAAACCAATTGTAGGACATGGTGGTTCGTGCTTTCCTGCAATTCCCTACGTCGATTTTGCTCGATACATTCACACATCTGAAATGTAGGAAAGTGTGCATCGTGACTTCCTACAATTTGTTCTGCGCGAGCTCGGTGTCACAAAAACCAGATTCCCAACATCGCCATGAACCAACATCGCCGTTAGCGCGGCCTTGGATCGTCACCTCCGCCGTGGCGGCAGCGCCAAAATGGAAGCCGCGAGCGCGGCCCTCCCCCAGCTGCTCGCCTTCAAGTCGCCGGAGCGCCCGTCCGCGCAGCAGGCCCTGGAGCTCCCCTGGCTGCGGTCGCCGCTCAGCGGCCCACAGAGGCCGCGC